TTTTTTTTTTTTTTTTTTTTACCCAGACGACTGATATCTGACAGTCAAATCTATAGTTTCTGAGCCATTGGATAATAATTATCTTTGAGTTTTGCGAACTGAGGGTTACAGAAAATCAAACAGTAACCTAAGATTGAATACAAAAATAGTTATCTTCTGCACAGAATTGACGTAAGGTTTCTCGATACTGAGTTTATTTTTACGAAAAAAGACGTTAATTAGCTGCCATAGTTTTTTTAATGAAGAAAGTGCTTAAAATTTTACAAAGTTAAATTCGAGCTCAGTTTGAATAGTCGACTTGGAATTTACCAAAGTGCAAAATAGTTGGCTCACGGAAAAAATGATAAAATGAGAATAAAATTAACTGAGAATATAAGAGTAAATTTAGAGACATATGGGTACTATTCCCAATGTTTACCAATTTTTTAAAAAACAATTTTGACAATTGAGAAGTTGTGTGGAGATTTTATACAAGCGTTGTAGTGCAGTGGTGCTTGTATGCTTATCTCTTTGTTTTGGGGGTTGCAGCTAAGTTTATTTCTTAGTTTGGTTGGTTATTTTCTTTCGTCGGGTCACTGGTTCGAGCTCTGCGGTCGTCACATGTGAATTGAGTTTGTTTGATGTGTCGTTCTCTCCTATGCTACGAGGGTTTTCTCCGGGTTCCTCCCTCCGTAAAAATCAACATGTGAGTTGAGCGTTGTGTGCATAGACTATTGAATGTAGTGGTAGTGTGTGTGAGTGAAAAGTGTCCCCAATTAGTGCGAAAACGCTAGAACGGCTAGACACTTAAATAAAGGTATTTACTTATTTTATTTATTTCGTTAAAAAAATTAGTTGAATCAGTTCGTTCGTTAGACCAACTCATTGTTTCTTTTGTCAAATGGGTTCCTATTTTTTTTACTTTTTTTTACTTTGAACCTTTTTCTACTAACGTAATGAAAATTAGAGCGACACACCATTTTTTTAACTTGAAAAATATTTTAATTACAAAACCTTTTATATAAATATCTTTATAAAGAACTTATATTTATTATCAAACTTGGAATCGATATACAACTGGAGTTTTATAACTATATAAAACAGGTCGAAGTGAACTTGAAGGCAATGCATTCCTCTGGGTCAGCGGCAGGTGCTGAGAAGCATGCGTCAGTTCGTAAGCAGGTGCCATATGCTTGGATGCAGGCTCCACTCGGCATGTTTGTACTGCGCGTCGATATAGAGGCATAGGACGAATATAACTTCTTTGTACTAGACCATAATTTCTACACGTCGTCGCACTAGGATAGGGAACTGGAGTACATACTTGGTTACCATAGTAACTGCAGCTACGGACAGGCTGGGCTTGACTAACATGTTGCCTTGGTGACGAAAGGTTACTGGCCAGGTCATCGAGTTTACGGAGCTTAATGGATTGTCGTCTCTTTTCTGTTTTCCTTCGGTTTTCGAACCATCGTCTGACTTTCTCAAAATTGAAACCAAGGTAGCCTGCAATCTGGGTCATCTGCTCTTTGCTTGGATAAGGTTCAATGGAGAAAGCTTCTAGTAGGAGTTTCTTTTGTGGAGCTGAGGGATAGGCTCTTGTAGCTTTTGCCTTGGAAGGAACTTTGAATTCTGAAGCACAACCTGTCGAAAGAGTAAAAGGAAAAAATATTAGTGATAAGTATCTTTGTAATAAATACGAATTGATGGTTGTAATTAAATTGATAAGAAATACTTACTAGTAGCGTTTGAAGAGATCTGTTGATTTTCATTTGGAGTAGAGGGACATTCGTAGGTCAGCGTTCCGTCCTGAGGATTATGCGTACTACGGAGAATATTTTCTATCATGAAATACGAACTCTTGGAGACTAATTTCAAGTTACTCATCGTGGAAACGTTTCTTCAGCAGGGCGGATCTTTGTGACTAACCTCGAGCTTGGCTAGTGATAGAATGATTAGTCAGTCTTTCTCCAAGCGTTTTATAGCAGTTTGAAACAAAGGACTTAACAAACAATAGCTCCCTTAAGAGGCCGCAACTGATACGAAAGCCGCTTGACAAAAGAAACCAATTGCCGATTGCTATTGTTTTAAACAAAGCCAATGAACTTGGAAAATGAACGAATAATTCTTACAATAGCGGCAAAACAGAGAAAAACAATTACGCGCGCGGCAGGCAGGTAAATTTAAAATTGGCGGGAAAACCCAAAGAGCGCGCGCGGCTTTTGCTTTGACTTGAATGGTGCTCCTCTATAACGGTAGTCTTTTAAGCTATTATGGCGGCAATTTATAATCTAAGGTTCCACTGGTTTTAATTTAATCACCTCTTTAGCGCTTGGCTGTCAGCAAACGATTTTCCCCCACGCGGTTTTAGGTGTTTATTGCATAGCCAACGCGAGAAAAAAGTGTAAAAGCAGAACAAGAATGGCGACAACAACAACCTAAAATCGAAGAGAGTTTACTGGATGTAATTTTCCCTTGATTACAGAGTTTTTAAATTTCAATTCAAACTGTGTGTTAACTGTGTGCTGACTTAGATCAGCTCAGTGGTACGTTGTTTCGCGGTGCGAGTTAAACTGTGCCCTGACTGTCGCCCTGACTTAGATCAGCCCAATTGTTTCAGGGCAATAAGATATTAATTTGCTTGTCATCTAAAGAAACAATTGCAAAGCCAGCGTGGCCGAGAAGTTTTAAAAAAACTGAAATGCCTACTCAGTCAAAAAGCCGAAAAATTAAAAAACAATTGATAAATCAATAAGCAGTGAAAATGTGAGAACCCTCAATTGTGTTAACGTCTTCTGGTGTCCGGATGACTGAAAGTTTTGGCGGGAAAAACAAACGGACGCGCGTGGCTTTCATTAATGACTTGTGTTTTAACGAGGCGTTACCGCCTTTTTAGGCGGCTTATATATTTTGAATTGATTTTTTAGAAATATAAAACTACCATTGTCTTTGAATTGCAGCCCGCAAAGTGCAATGTTTCTTTCGCCGACTAGCATTTCAAATAACGCCACTCAACTGAAATAAAAAAACAATATCTTGAGGAAGGTTTCAGACTAAACTAAAGATTGTAATCCTCTTCTAACCCTCTAAATTCTTTAATTCAGTCCAAAATCTCCCGAAAGATATTGTTTTTTATTATAATTTTATTGCTGCGAATCACGTGTCGGAAATTAATTCTGCGCATATTCTTTTTTAGTTAGTTGCTGAAATTCAAGGCTCAGTGCAGGACTAGGAATTACTCGGGTGTATAAATTGACCAAGAAAGTTAAAGATGACGCGAAAAGATAAGATTTGGGTAGACAGGTATAGGTTACTCAAAAATGGAGAAGCTTCACTATTCTATATTCTATTACTTAAAAAAACAACAACAAACAAACAAAAACAAAAACAAATAAAAAAACAGGAGCAAAAGTGTGAGCAGGTATAATGTTTAGGTCACCCATCCAAGTGCTAACCCTCCCCAGACGAGCTTGACTCAGTATCTTGAACGACAACGATTTATCCACTGGACCACGGCTCCAGGTGAATCAGCATAACAATAGCAGTGGAAACAATTCACCGAATAGACTAGACTTTTTAACATTATTTTTTTAACCGATTCCGTGCGTGGCAGAGATGCAAGGGATTAGCCGATATGGTCTGGGGGCCGGCTGGTCTCTCCCCTGATGCTTCGGCTAGAACATTTTCTTGCGTAATTCGTACACCCAAGGGCAGAAGGATTTAATCGCCGTCAGGTCCGAAGTCCGAAGTAGAATCGATTTTTTTCTAAATTTCTTTTGGGTGGGTTTGAATCCAACGTTATACACATAAGATTTTTCTTTCTTTTTTTATCCATTCTTTATCTTAAATCTTTAACAATAAGACAAATCTTTTTAGTGATTTTTATTATTATTCTTAGTCGGTTGCTAATAAGCCAGTATAAGTTTTATCAGACGTTGTCAGTGCATATAAGCAACATCGATCCGCGAAAAGTAAAGCTTTGCTTTCCTATCTTTCCTAGCAAAGTTTACTGACAAGAACATTTACTGCATTCGGGTGGTGCCGTGAAGATTTCGGGGTACTATTGTAAGGAAAATAAAAGCCACCCCAGTAAATAATATAATAACAAAGGATTGTAAAAAGATAAAAAAATTAAATTTTTTAAATTGAGAACTTTGGGATATTTCATCTTATTGCGTCATGGCGCAAGATCAAATTCACAAGTAGTGTGAATTTTTTTTCATAGCCTACAAAAGGGCAGACCTGCAGTTATTTTTAATATTATGTAGATAACACCTTAAGGGAGAAGATCGTCTTAGACGAGGTAAAAGAAATCATTCCATCTGTGAAACATTCCATTATCTTTATTCCATTCCATTATATCATTATCAAGAAGCAATACCATGATGACAACAATTCCATTATCTTTTGGCAAACATTGCAAACTTGCGCATGCGTAAATTTCAGCACGTTTTCTAAGAATTTAAAAGAGTTTGAGTGAGAAAATAAATGTTTGTTTTCTCCAAATATACGAAAAAGTTCGAGAGTATACTTTTGTCAGACCAAGATACTGTATTAACAAACACGATATGAAAGAATTAGCCTTATGTTTCAAGCATGGACACTAAGTTTTGGCATTTTGTGAAGTCCAATTTATCAGGCATGTTTGAAAGTCAAATTTACATATGTTTTGATTATACTGATTTGCATACGGATTCAGAGCATGCGCATACGTTTTTCACTCGTGTCACAGGCGACCCAGTGAACGCCTACAGGGCATTTTGTTCAAATTAAATACGCGTTCCTTGATACATATCTTATAAGGCTTGGGAATATGTACAAACCTCATGTAATATAAAAAATTACAGACCTATTGTCGACTTATTTTGATTTATTATATAGTTAGGTTAGAACGCGCTCGCTGATTGGTCGAAAACTGTGCTTTATTAGTGAACGGAGCACAGGGCTGACGCGATCCGCGCACGCGAAGTGCAGCTAGAACCTGCGACAGTCTTTCTTTTTGCGCAAATGAATTCAATAACGAAAAAAAAAATAGTAACTATATAATAAAACAAATAAAACAGCTTCTTCCGTGCATGCTCCGTTCAGTAATAGAGAGTTTTAGATTTACGTTCATGGCAAACGTGAAACGTCAGTTGACCAGTAAAAAATTCTTTTAAATTACTGAAAAAGAATCGCAAAAAAGTCCAAGTAGTAGAAAAACAAAAGAGTATTTGCGCTTGGTGAGAAGGTTTGTAAAAGGTAAAGTAAAATAAAGGAAAACTATGAAAACGTGGTCACGTTTGCCGTTTGCGGGGAGAAAAAAAAGTCAATCTAAAACTCTCTATTAAAGCACTAAGGAAGCACCGTAAGCACTCTTTACACTTCTTTCGTGCTTACGTCACTTCGGAGCACGGAAGAAGCTGTTTTATTCGTTAATTATGTCACTGAGGTGCAGACTAATTTAATTTAATTTGCTGGCATTGAAATTCTGATATATATTTTGGATAAGATGTATACCGTCAACTATAAATTACAGAAAACAGAAAAAGGTTGTCAGATTTGTCTTACTATCAGTTTATTTACCTTGTTTAATATCAAATCATAAGTAGTTGCGTTCAAAAGTCTGCATTTCCGAACTCCTACTAAAAAAGAACCTCATTTTTGCGCACAAGTTATGCGTGTAAAGGCCGGTTTAGACGGTACGATTTTCGCCTACAACTATGGTATACAACACGCTCGCGCCATCCTACAACTCGAGTCGTAGAGTGTAAATCAAGCCTACAACTCGCCTACGACAGACGCGAGCGTGTTGTATACGATAGTTGTAGGCGAAAATCGAACCGTCCGAACCGGCCTAAAGTATACGTTGACATTAGTTTTTCAAGACGCGCTCTTTGAAGCATATCTTATAAGGCTTGGGCATATGTACGAGCCCCATGTAACCAATTCTCTCTGGTGGTGGACATCCTGGTGGGGACTCAATCCTGAACTGATGCATCAGCCTTGAAATCACGATAAACAACTCCTGCTTGGCCAGGGCTTCTCCTATACACACTCGTCGACCAGCGCCAAAGGGAAGGTAGCTCTTGGTGCCTGATCCGTGAAGAAATTTACCCTCGTCGTCAAGGAAACGTGTTGGGTCAAACAAATGGGGGCTCTTCCATTCGTTTTCATCGTAATGCATAGCCCATATGTTGAGCAGTAGAGTCGTGCCTTTGGGAATCTTGTACCCGGCGAGTGTGGAGTCAACGCTAGCCTTGTGTGGTACAGCGAGTGCGGCGACGCAAGACATACGTAAAGTCTCAGCAATCGTCGCCTCAAGGTACGGAAGCCTGCTTTTATCTTCCCACTTTGGCATGACGTCACGACCTACTACGTCATCAAGCTCTGCATGGACTTTGGCTTGGATATCTGGGTTAAGAACCATGTAGGCACAATACCAGCGGAGTGACGTCATGGTTGTTTCCAGACCACCAGAGAAGGCATCTGTCATTGTCATCACGACGTGGTTTTCTGTTATAAGGTCGCGGACCTTGCTGTCCTCTTTCTGGGCTTCTTGAAGGGCTTTGATGAGAGCGTCAGTCAAATCACGAATAACTCCATCCTGGTACGTCTCCCTGTGCTCGTGGAGTTTCGTATCGAGAAGTCGATCGCGGTTGACTCGAACGAGCTCGATGTCTTTAGAATCCTTGATCGGAAAATGAATCAAAAATGGAAAAATGTTCAGCAGATGGACAGCACTCAGTAAGCGAAACATCTTCGTGTTGTAGTCAAGTATCATCAGGAATTCTGGATCATCAATCTCATAATGCTCTCCATAGACCATCGCACATATAACATTGACTGTCGTGAGTAAGAAGTCGTGCGCAGGATCCACAGGGTTCCCAGCATGAGATTTCAGCCTCTTTGACAACTTGTCCGCTTCCTTCTCAACATTTTCCACCAAGTGAGGGTTGTAGTTGCGCAAAGCTGAATGAACTAATTTACGCTGTAAAATCAAGGTAGGAGTGAAGTCTCCTATCGCGATGTCTATAGAGCCACGTGTAAGGTAGTCCCAAGTGAACTTGTACGGCCTTCCCGCAAAATCATCCTTCTTAGTAAGGCAAGCTTCTCTGGCGATGGACGCAGAATTCACCACCACTGTCCGGTCCCCTGGAATATCAACGGTGAAGATGTTGCCATACTTTTTGGCGGCTTTAGTAAACTCAATCTGCATTTGATTTTTGGAGGTCCACTTGATCACTTCAAGAAAGTTGCCAATTATGGGCAGCGGTGTTGGCCCTGGGGGCATGCCCTTGGGGCGTCCGGTGGATTTAACAGCCACATAGAGCAAAACCAAAATAACTACAAACGCAAGAACTTCAACCAACATCTTGCCAGACCTGAATTGAAAAAGACAATCGAGAAAAAAAAGCTAAAGTTAGAATTGCCCTATTTCACTATGACGTCACATCAAAACAATCTATTGTTTAAACGCAAAGGATCATGGTCGTCGGACGGGATCAAATCAACGCAAATTCACCGAAAATTGTTTTAAAACCCGTATCAATCCACGAGAAGTAGAATAGCCAGCAAACGCTCAGAATATTTTTAAGTACATATTAACACATATTATATCTGAAAACCAGGCCATTTTAGATTAAACTTTATTATATAGATATCGATGAAATACCAGGTTTTCTCTAACGTCGAAAACTTGATATCTTTCACCAGTGGAAGATACCATATCTTTCACACGTGAAGATATCGCTGTTGACATAGTAACGTATTTTAATAAAAAATTTTTGAGCTTTTGATTTATTTAAGTTTCATCGATATCTATATAATAAACAGAACATTACATGGCCGCTTGGAGATACGAATTTTATCGTCTCGTGTTCAATTTAGATATCTCACTCGTTCGCTGTGCTCACTCGTGAGATATCAATTGAACACTCGAAGATAAAATTCGTATCTACGCGCGCCCATGTAGTATCCTCTATCCGTTTCGCTAGGAGCAAATTTTGTTGAATTTTCTATTGGATTTGGCGATTCTATCCCCCACATAAACAAGAAGCAGTGATTTCACAGTGAAATAATGCAAAATTCTTGTCCAATCTTATTTCTTTGAGAAATGAAATGACCAAAAGAAATAAAACAGAAATATTCGGTCGGTCGGTCAGTCAGTCAGTAAGCAGTCGGTCATTTGAAAATGCAAACAATACTCATAAGCGCAAATAATGTCACAAAAGACATGCATCATTAAACAACAAAAACATCACAATTGGATTAAAGCAGAGCTAGAAAATATGCTAGTTGTACATCGGTATTGACCTCATCAGTTAAGTTTAATAAAGAACCTCAGAACTGTAATGAGGCTTAGTTAAAGCGATAGTAGAATTCAGAACTGCATGTGTAATTAGCCTCATAAGTCAAACATAGATAGGTGTATCGTGATAAGATTTGTGATGTCCGATTTTCGTATGCATGGCAATATCAGGAATATAAAGCTGCTTCGACTTTGTTTTAAAGTGTATATCAGGTCTAGAATTTTTTTACGGTTTTGTCATCTCTAGATGATATAGATAAATATTCCAAAAAAAA